CAGGGCTGGGGGTGGGGGGGGCTGGTTCTTCTCAAAAATAAAAGGCTTTTTCTTTTCTACTTAAGCTTTAGCTTACAGGGCTCTTGCACGCACGCTGGTGCGGAAGCTGTCTCGGTCGGTGTCCTGCTTCTTATACCTGTGGTGAGGGAGAAAGTGGCCGTAAGCTGTTAAACTGCAGCGTGAGGGGAGGGCCCTGCCCACGTACCTGCCTGCTCAGCTGCTCTCAGCACGCTGAAAGGCAGCGGCGTGCGCGGCCGCCCAGCGCTGCAGCGGCGGCACGCCGTAGGAGGAGTGCTTTGTCACTCTGCCGTGACCCCAGGAAGGGATTGAAGAGGTTTAAGTTACAGCTCTGGTGTCTTCGCTGCGGAGCTGGAAGCCGTGGGATGTGCGTGCCCGATCATCTCCGCTGGCTGAGCTTTTGAGCCCTTCGGAGATTTGGCTCTTCTAAAGAACAATTTGAGGGAGCAAGAAGACTTGAGTCCTCGCAGAGAATTTCTGGCCAGTAAGAGTATGCCTGAAATCAAGACCTAATCTGTTACTCCCCAAAGGAAGAACTTTCTAGTCCAGTTTACAAGTTTGATAAGTAACCATTACAGAGATGTTCCTTTTAAGTATGCTTTGTATACGTAATTGTAAAGGCTTCAGATCCTAAGAGGATGTAAATATATTCAAGACTTGTGGCAAGCTTCAAAAGAATGCAAGAGATGATCTTTTACTTTATTTATTTTACTAGGGAGAAAATTTAAGGGAATCAAAATGAAGTATGTAGCTGGCTTCCTGTGTGCTATCAGAATGTTCTATATGACTAAAACAGTGCTGTAAATGAGATTCTTTAAATACTAATTGTTCTAACCATTAACATCTATAGTCAAAATGCTGTGAAAGCTTTCATTGTTAAGGCATGTCTACATACCCCTGACCGTGTTAGTATTTTTGCGATAGCAGTACTTCCTACTTGAAGTGTGACCACTTTCATTGTACCTTCCTCTTGGGAGGGGAGGGGGAATATTTTTTTGAAGTTCAATTCATATTTTTCCTGTCATGATAATTCAGTATGGATTCTGAATCACCATTTTCTTGTGCAAAATATAAAATAGTCCCTGAGTAGATTACTTCTATGAATGTGTACCTTCTTGGAGTCCAGGCAAGTATAAAATGCCGCTTTCATATAGAAGTTTGGTCGTGAGTTCCAGGAAGAAGCTGCTGCAGCTTTTTCCTGTAAGCGGTCTCTGCCCTTTTAAGTATTTGATACTTGAAAGGGAATAGACTGTGTTAGTGAGAGGAATGTATACCTGTATGACCTTGCTGTAAAGGACCGTGCTCTGCTACTTGTAGTAAGATCAGATCACTACTAAACATAGTGTACCAGTTTAAAAACAAAGAGCAAAACAACTCCGCATAAATGAGACTTCATACTTTCTACACAGCTATATATTAATTCTTAATGTTACTTAATGTTAGTTGAAGTTATTTTTAAATAAAGCTTGTTTTTTTTTTAATTGAGTTATGGTATTTGAAGTGATCTTCTGAGATGGCTGTTTCGTTAACTATCTTCTAGAGTTGACTAGCCAACTGAAACTCTTAGAACAGAGCATGTGGTGGAAGATCAAACTTTAAATGCGCTTATGTAGCGTATATAAGATATTTAGAATTGGGTGGCATTGTTGTTAGCTGAACCTGTGAAGAGAATACATCCTTGAGTCAGGTTACTTTTAACAGCAAAACTTGTCACTAGTCTGTAGAAGGTTAGTCTTTTGAGCAGATGGTATAGGGATATCATCAGGAAAATATGCTTGTATATGTTAGGAGTTTTATTTGTATAACTGTGGGCCACACCCTAACTGAAAGATGCTGTCAAAAAAGCATTTTCCCCTCAGCGTTTTAACTTTATTTTAATCTTCTGGCTGTTTTGGGCTAAGAAGTTGGGGGGAGGGTACAGAGGGAGGAGACTCAGCAGAACAACTTTAGGGATTAAAGGTTTTGACCCTGAACAGGCTTGCTGAGTGTTGTAAAGCAGTGTGTGAAGCTTGTTTGCCACAAATCATTACTTTGTTCCAGAATAGAGAATTTTCTGGTTTCTATACTGTCAAAACCTGCAATTTTTTTGGTATGAACTCAGTTCTATGTATGATATATTTTGTTATAATTTACTCTGTAATGAGTTTTATAGAAGTGACTGTTTGTTATCTTATTAAATGCTGGGCTTTCCTTTGCGTGCTTGCTGTCAGTTGTCACCATGCCCCCTTTCTAGCAGAGGGGGAGGGTGAACAGTGGAGCACGCACGAGACACGCAATACTAAGAAATCGGAAGTTCTACCTGTAGGCATGTAGGCGGTTTCTAACCACAGTTCCTTTGCATTTCATCTCTTCCTCATGCCTGTCATCT